GCAGAGAGTCTTACCATGCCGACGTGTCTCTATGAACGTTTCTACACACAGCAGCGTGGTTCCACCGCGACCCTCCTGTGTCCTGCGCTCGGGGCTTCTCCACGCGTGAGACTTGGCTTTCTCTCACACACCAGAATCGCCGCCCCACGTGAAGAAATACGGGCGCCCGACAGCGCATGCGCGCCCCCCCCGAGCCGGTTCCTCCCCCTGTCCCGGGTTCCAGAGCCTTCTGGAACCTTCCCGACACGATCCCCCGCGCGCCCTGCAGCCAGCGCGCAAACCGACAGCCGCCCCCGCCTCCTGTGAGTGCATACAGCGGAATTACTGCTTCATACACGGGTGCAATGTGTTTCAAAGCGATGCATTTGGCAGCAGAGCGTGCATCTCCGCCCCCCCCCCGCCATTGCATCAAAATTACACAACATTCACCTTCGACCCCTCGAACTTTTTTTCCTCCTCCAATGGCGTCCGAGAAGTTTCTGGAAATCGCCTGCCCCGGAACGAGCATGGAGGTTCCCCCCCCTCCTCCTGTCGCGCTCTATCCCACCTGCGTTTAAAGTAACGTTCCCGGAGCCGTGTAACGCGCCGGGCGGGCGGGCCCCAATGAGGTGTGTGTGTGTGTGGGGGGGTCTTCACCGCCACAGTCTTGCGCGCCCCCCCCCAGCGGGGCGAGTGTGTGCAGTTATACAGGTTTCGGGGCGGCCCCCAGCGTTACCCGGATGGAGATGCCCATGTGCGCCGCTCAGAGGCCGGAGAGGAGGCGCTTTTAGGCAGCAGCGCAGCTCGCCGTCTTACTTCTTCTGACAGAGCCCACTGCGCGGCGGTCGTCTGTTCCCTCCTGACCTCATCCCATCCACCCCGACAGTAAGTACCCGGGCTCCCCTTCCTCGCTCGCTCGCCGCTGGAGCACGGTTCCGCACGCCGCTCCTGGGGAGCCTGTCCAGTCTCTGCCGTGACGGAGCGGAGCGCTACAGCTCGGTTCGAGCCGACTGAAGGCGGCGGGCGGGCGTGCGTGCGTGCCTGCTCGCGTGTCTGCAGCGGTGGTTCGCTCGGCTGTGGCCGTGAACCTCCTCATTTCGTGTGGGCCTGCCCTTGGCCGCTTCGGGTGTAACTCGTCCGCTTTTCTGTGCCTATTTGTGTTATCCACTTTACACCCCGAGGTGAGGGATTGGGGGTGGCTCGTTTGTCCTTCTGTAGTTTTCCGGCTGGACTGGACATGAATGATGAGCGCTTGCATCTGTAACGGACGCTGTGGAGGGGGGAGAGATTCTGCTGTCTGCCCGCTGCTGCGCTGCACATCTCGAATATCGCCCAGCACGGCGTTAAGCGCCTGCCGCGTGAAACGGGCGAGCCGAGCGGTTCTGCGGAACCGTGTAGTGCTGTGAGAGCTCCAGTCTGTTCTCGTCAGCGTCTGACTGAACCTCGCCATCCCAGTCAGAGACGGCTACGTCTCTACTGCTAGAAGGATAATGAACTGCATGTATTCGGAGAAGTCGGGGGGTTTTATGTTGGAATTAACGTTTTCAAAGATTGCGCTTTGTTAAGGAGGTTATTGTACTCTTCTCATTAAGACAGTCAACTTAAAAACACATCACTGGATAGTGATTAGTCGTAAGCTCTGCTACGTCTTGCGCTGTCCAGATAGTAGCTTCCACCGCGAGCAGGGATGTCCTCGTGAGCGGGGGGCGCCGATGAAGCTCAGTTCTAGCGAGCTCCGCGTGCGCCGCTGCGCACCGGCACGCTCTCGACGCAGCCACGGCTTTGACCTTGTGGTGCGTGACCCCCGCACGCACGCACGCACGCGGGCGGAAGGACGGACCTTCATGCCGAAAAGACGCCGTGAAAGATTAGGCGCTGTCACAAGACTGAGGGGTGGTTTGTAGTGCGTTTACTTGAAGTGGATTTGATTGTTGTTGTTTTTTTTTTGGCTTCTTGTCTGTAAACAGTTAGGACCCCCCCCACACGGTCTTTATAAAGAACAGTTCTGCGTTCCGAGCCGCCCTATCCCCCACATCGACTTCTAGCTTTTAAAATTACACCTGCTGAAAGTGTAATTACACAGTAAAATAAGAGGGCGTCGGGTCTGTCCTGGCGCAGGAGGCGCTCAAGGAGTCGTGGTTGAGTAATCTGCGGCCCGCTTCGAGCCTATTACCCCGGTCGTGCATTTACAGTGCATTGGCCTTGTGTGCCTTCACGGTTAAGAGCTCTGATAATCCGGCAGTCGCCACACAGCTGTCTAATCGCCACAGATTCCCTTCTCCCGGCGGTGGGTTTTCGAGGGAAGGCCGTGTCCTTACAGGTACGACCTTGGCCCTGCGTGTCCGGGGTGTCAGTGCTGAAGCAGGCCCCTGCGCTCGCTGGAGCCGCTCAGGCTGTGTTGCCATGGAGACAGGCCAGGCAGGGTGAGCTTGCAGTGCAGCCCCTTGCCGTGGCAGAAGTGGGGTGATTGGCGCGTCTCGGGGTACACAGCTGGGGTCTGGAGCCGGAACAGGTCCAGGCCGAGGCGCCCCCCCCCCCGTTGCTCCTTGGAAAGCAAGATCCGCGGGATCGCCGTCTGTCCGCCGCTCAGGCCCGTCTCTGCTGCACCCCTGCAGGAAATGCTGCGCTTGCCCACCGTGATGAGACGGATGCGCCCGGCGTGCCGAGCGCTGGCGCCCCACCTGACGCGCTGCTACGCCAAGGACGTGAAGTTCGGCGCCGACGCCCGCGCCCTCATGCTGCAGGGCGTCGACCTGCTGGCTGACGCCGTCGCCGTCACCATGGGGCCCAAGGTAGGGGTGGGAAGAGGAGAGGGGGCGGGTAGGACACCTGGTGGGAGAGGGGGGGGTAGGACACCTTGTGGGAGAGGAGCAGGGGGGTAGGACACCTGGTGGGGGGTGCAGGGAGAGGAGCAGGGGGTGGGGACACCTGGCAGGAGAGGGGTCGCAAGAGGAGAGGGGGCGGGTAGGACACCTGGTGGGGGAGGAGGGGGGTAGGACACCTTGTGGGGGGGGCAGGGAGAGGAGCAGGGGGTGGGGACACCTGGCAGGAGAGGGGTCGGAAGAGGAGGAGGAGGGGGTGGGACACCTGGTGTGTGTGCGTGTGTGTGTGTGATACGCATTGTTTGGCAGTGACGCGTGTACACGTTTGTGTGCAGCAGGAAATGTGTAGCGGTGGGTTGTTTGTGTATGGATTGTGGGTTTGAAGCATGTTGTGCAGAGATGGATGCCTGAGGCCTGAGATTCTGTCCTGGTTCGAGCGCCTTGTGCCTTCGTGCAGGGTCGCACGGTCATCATCGAGCAGAGCTGGGGGAGCCCCAAGGTCACCAAGGACGGGGTGACGGTGGCCAAAAGCATCGACCTGAAGGACAAGTACAAGAACATCGGCGCCAAGCTGGTGCAGGACGTTGCCAACAACACCAACGAGGAGGCCGGCGACGGCACCACCACCGCCACCGTGCTGGCCCGCGCCATCGCCAAGGAGGGCTTCGACACCATCAGCAAAGGCGCCAACCCCGTGGAGATCCGGCGCGGGGTCATGCTGGCCGTGGACACGGTCATCACCGAGCTCAAGAAGCTCTCCAAGCCCGTCACCACGCCCGAGGAGATCGCCCAGGTAAGGCCTTGCGTGAGGGAAGGGGTGCGCCTCGTTGCCCCCAGGGTAAAAGGGAGGGGTACCCCGCTTGACGGCCCTCTCTCTCTCTTTCCTGGCCTTCTTTCAGGTGGCCACCATCTCTGCCAACGGGGACAGCGAGATCGGCAACATCATCTCCGACGCCATGAAGAAAGTGGGGCGCAAGGGGGTCATCACCGTCAAGGTGGGTTGCAGGGGGCTTGTTTTGTAGGGGGCGGTGGGGCGGGGCATCACTCTGAGCTCCATGCCCGGGTTCGATCCAAGTAAATGTCCATTAGGTCCATTAGGAACTGTCCAGTGGGAACTGAATTGGCCACAGCACTGGCCACTGGAAAGAATGATGCTCTCAATCCAGATCTGGAGAGCAACAGCGTGTTGCTCAGTTGTTCACCTTCCCCTGAAGTGTAAGAGTTGATGTATTAAAGAGCCTGGAAATCCTGCAGGAATAGGCAGAGGAAGAGTAGCGGATCGGGGTAGTTCGACAGCAGTGTTCCTGGCTTCTGCATTGCTGTTGCTCTAAAGGAGCTGGTGAAGTGAGACGGGGGGGGGGGGGTGACTGCTTTTCCACTAGCCTGTGGCTCTCGAGTTGGGAGAAGTGCTCCGGGAATCCGTGTCTGGTGATCTGGGAAGCAGCCTGTCGCGGGTCTTTCCTGGGAGAGAGGTGTGTGAGCTGTGTGATGGGTCCGGTGTGCCGGCTGATGCCGTGTTCTTGGATGTGTGTTTTCAGGATGGTAAGACTCTGCACGACGAGCTGGAGATCATTGAGGGTCTGAAGTTCGACCGTGGGTACATCTCCCCGTACTTCATCAACACTGCCAAAGGTGAGGGCGCTCTGCCAGGCCCTGGCCCTACCCTGTCCCCGCCACACTTCCTCTCTGCAAGGTGGCTTCTGTTTGAGAACTGTAAACTGTTTGTTTTGGGCTGTTTTCTCTTTCCTCGTGGCCTTTCTTTTGAGCGTCTTTCGTAATAATAAGTAGAAACGAAACGGGAGTCATCGGGGAGCCCATCCGCACAGCGACAGAAACGCTCGTGTGTGTTCTTATCAATGTCCTGTCTCTCTGCCCCCCCCAGGTCAGAAGTGCGAGTTCCAGGATGCCTATCTCCTCCTCAGTGAGAAGAAGATCTCCAGTGTCCAGTCCATCGTCCCGGCTCTCGAGATCGCCAACCAGCACCGCAAGCCCCTGGTCATCGTGGCCGAGGATGTGGACGGGGAGGCTCTCAGCACGCTGGTGCTCAACAGGTCCGTCTGTCCACCCCTCTCTTGCTCCCGAGTGTCGGTCTCTCGGGTCGTTAGGGCTCCCACTGGGCTGTCGGGGGGTCACCGCAGACTCACGGTGTGATCTTTCTCCCAGGCTCAAGGTGGGGCTGCAGGTGGTGGCAGTGAAGGCTCCTGGGTTCGGAGACAACAGGAAGAACCAGCTGCAGGACATGGCCATCGCCACCGGGGGCACTGTGAGTATCCCACCCAGGCCCCTCCTCCTTTCTTGGTCAGGCTGTCTGTTCTCTCCCAGAATCCTTTGTGCTCACACAACATTCAATGTAATTCTGCGGATTCTCTCTTCTTTGACCATCACGTCTGCCTTCTGATTTCTCATCTCTCTGCACTTTACTCCTTCTCTCAGTCAGAGTATCTCTGCAACCTTCTTTTTACTGTTGACTTGGTGTTTGTGTCCGGAAGTGTCCACCCAGTTCCTTCAGTACTGTAGTGAAGAGACTGTAACTTCTTCATTCCTGTTTCCCTCTCCCTCTCCCTCCAGGTGTTCGGGGACGAAGCCCTGGGGCTGGCGCTGGAGGACATCCAGGCGCACGACTTCGGCAAGGTGGGGGAGGTGTTGGTGACGAAGGATGACACGATGCTGCTGAAGGGGAAGGGCGACAAGGCCGCCATCGAGAAGCGCGTGCAGGAGATCGTGGAGCAGCTGGAGGTCACCAGCAGCGACTACGAGAAGGAGAAGCTGAACGAGAGGCTGGCCAAGCTGTCCGACGGGGTGGCTGTGCTCAAGGTGAGGGGAGGAGAGAAACGAGGGGGGGGTGGGATGGGGAGTACCCCAGGGAGATGGGGGGCAGAGAAAGGGGGCTCGCTTCGTGGAAGATGAACATAAGTAGTACAAAGAGGGAAAAAAAAACACAACAACAATACAATTGTGTAGCAAAAGAAAGACGGAGACAACAGGCAGTGTGCAAAAAACAACAACAGACGATGTGCAAAACAACAAAAAAAAAGTAACAGGTTATGTGCAAAAATATGCATCAACAGAATAAAATAAAGGGATAGAAATGATGGGGAGGGAGCTTTTGACATGTATGGTAGAGGGAGATTTTCAATGTGTGTTTGGGTTTTTGGTAAGAAAGAAAGAAAGGTGAGGGGAGGAGAGAAACGAGGGGGGGGTGGGATGGGGAGTACCCCAGGGAGATGGGGGGCAGAGAAAGGGGGCTCGCTTCGTGGAAGGTGAAAAGAAGAGTGGAGAATTCTGGGAGGGGACAGGGTGTGGAGGGTGAGGGATTTTGCCAGGAGCTTTGATGGCAAACGTCTGTGTTCCCGTCGGGGCGTCAGGTTGGGGGCACGAGCGACGTGGAGGTGAACGAGAAGAAGGACCGGGTGACGGATGCCCTGAACGCCACAAGGGCGGCGGTGGAGGAGGGCATCGTGCCCGGGGGCGGCTGTGCCCTGCTGCGCTGCATCCCTGCCCTGGACGGCATCAAGCCAGTCAACGCGGACCAGAAGATCGGTGAGTGGAGAGACGCGTACAGCCCCAGCGTACTCCCCTCCTTCCCATAATCCTCCCCTTGCTTGCCAGCGCCAACCCGTCCCGCTCGCCTTTCCCCGTTCCAGGAATCGACATCGTGCGGCGGGCTCTGCGCATCCCGGCGATGACCATCGCGAAGAACGCGGGGGTGGAGGGCTCGATGGTGGTGGAGAAGATCCTGCAGAGCGGGGCGGAGATCGGCTACGACGCCATGCTGGGGGAGTACGTCAACATGGTGGAGAAGGGCATCATCGACCCCACGAAGGTAGGCGGGTTTGTGCAGCACACTGAGCCGTGGTTCCTGGTCCAAACGGGACTGTCACAGGGTTGCTGGTCCTGGGTCCTAATGACCACACACACACACACACACACACACCTGCTGGTTTTTGTTCCAGCCAAACCCTTCGTTGAACTGTCTTCCCAGCTCTTACAAATGTTGGATCTTTTAACTTTCACTTTGTAAGGAAAATCCTGAACTAAAATGCCATTGTTCAATTGAAGCAACTTCTTCACTGAAGCCTTTACTTGACCTGAAACGCGCCTTCTCCTGGTGGGGTCACCAGGACTTGGGAACCCCCCACTTTAGATGCGCTCCCTGGTTGCTGTTGGTAAAGGGCGTTTTGCATGGACGGTATGTTACCCCTCTTGCACACCCATTGCACGGCGATGACGTCGTCTCTCTGGCGCCCCCTGCAGGTGGTCCGGACGGCCCTGCTGGACGCGGCCGGGGTGGCGTCTCTGCTGTCCACAGCGGAAGCGGTCGTCACGGAGGTGCCCAAGGAGGAGAAGGAGCCCGCGATGGGCGGGGGCATGGGTGGCATGGGCGGCATGGGCGGGGGCATGTTTTAAACTGGGAACGGCCCCCTTCCTGCTTTCTGATGGACTGACTGGACTGGGGGGGACAGTGGCCAGGGGTCGCTAGGGAGTCTGTATTCTCATACCCTGTCGCTCCCTGGCCCTTCTCCCTGTCGGACGTGGTGGCCGAGAGTTTGCTGGGGAACTGTGACCCCCTCCACCCACATGCGCACCTCTGCTTTCCCACTGCTGCCCCCTGCTGGGACGAGGGGGGCTGTCGTGAGCCAGGACTGCTTCGGAAGATTGCCCCCCGTCCCCCCAGGTCAGGTGGTCTCTTCTCCCTCCCAGGGCTTTGCCAGTGCTGACCCAGTACAGCTCCCTGCTCCTGATCATGTTGAATGGCCTCTGGTTGAGACTGTAGTTTCAGGCTGATCCTCTGTGCCCAGTAATGGCTTGTCCTCCATTGCCCATGCTGGTTCATCCTCTTCTGTAACTTTTTTTTTTATATTTGTCTGTTTATGAAAAAAAAATACTTGTTTTGTGCACTACTGTCCCAATTTTTCTTTGGTACTTAAAATTCACAAGTTGTCATTAAATCTCTGCTGTTTACGCGCATGGATTGAAGTATGTGTTTATCCTGTAACACAGGTTGGAGAGCTGCCTTATTGAATGACTTTTGTTTGTTCAAAGCTCTGTACCGTGGAGCAGGACCCCTGAGCTGTGTGTACAGCAGGCTTCTGTGGCAGAGTAGGGGGGACTGTGGGCCAAAGAGACCTCCCCTGTAGAGTATCAGGGGCCCTCAGTTCTTTGCTGAAGCGAAGTTTTAACTTTCCTCTGGCCTGAGCAGTTTACCCAGAGATGATAACCCTGACCTTTTTTTGAGGGATAGGACCAGGCGTGTTGGAGCTGGGATGGACGGCTCATAGGCCTGGGCACATACAGGACAGGAAAGGCTCTTTTTGCTGAACTGCTGGGCGTGTCAGGGGTTGATAGGCATGGAACCCTGATCCGGCAGCATGTTTGTCCTGGAGGGGAGTTGAGTTGTGGCTGGGGGCAGGAGATGGGGTTGCATGAGCTGGGGAGGCCACTGCCCTTTGTCCCAGCCTGAGCCCTGTGAGATCTTGCTCTGGGAGGGGACAGTGGAGCAGGTGTCGGAGCCCCGGTCCACTCTGCCCACCTCAGTCCATTTCCTGTGCTGGGGGGCGTGTGTGGAGGAGGAGGTGGGAATCACAGCTGAATGTTCAACTTCATGACGACAGACCGTTGGTAACTTCTTTCAACTTTTTTTTTTGGGGGTGGGGGGAGCGAGCAAGTTATGAAACTTTTTTTGTACAATAGTCAGTTTTTTTTATTTAATAAAATTCAAATAATCTGCGACCGATCCAGCTGTGTTATTTTCCTACAACGATCACCACCTGGATGTGAGAATGGATGTCCGGTGGGAAACAACTGCAGACCAACACCTTCACAATGTTAACAGTTATGTGCTTCACCCTTCCAAACTTTTATTGTAGTTCAACCATGGTTTTTTTTTTTTTTTTAGACCTTTAGATGGAACAGAGCAGCACTAGTTCCCAAACTGAGGGGCTGGATGCAGCTGTGCCATGTGACTAACTGGGAGAGCCCATTCAAGACAAATCTAACAAATCCTTCTTGCAGGAATAGGGGGCCTTTTCCACTTTGAGTGTATCCCCCTGACAGCAGAC